TTAAGTTCTGCACAGAACCCAAGGGAATAGTATCTATACACCGGGCCACTTTTGTCTCCAATGTCAGAAATATTTACCTAGGGGAAGCTCAGAGCGGATACCACAAGACGGAATATACAAGATAATCTCTCACACTGTCACGTGGGCTGTTTCCATGAAGGCAAAAAAAGAAAACTTCGCTTATCCACACAACCTTCCAGAATAAGTACAAATTTTCATCCAAAAAATATCCTCCCATCGTTCACCAACATTTCACATTGTGTTTTTCTTTCCACAGCTTAAGGGGGAAAAGGACAGGTGGCTCGGCGAGTAAGCCAGAGCGCGTGTGAATAAACAGGCTTATAGTGCCCGAAAAAACCCAAGAGAATAGCAAATTTGACATTTCAACCACCGGAAACAGTGCTGGCAATTCCACAACCAAAGCACCGTGAATGTGGCCGGACTCGGCAGATGTCGGAAGCTAAGCAGAATGAGACTGGCACACACTCATGATGGTTGAACTGCTGGGAAATATCAGGAGTCGTAGAGGCTTAGTCCAGGCAGCAGTTGGCAGTCCAGATATTACTTACTTAATGCACCAATGTGTGCAGATTTGAGAGTTATCCCCATCAATCATATGCCTGGGTTTCCTTCACAAATTATTATCTACTCCGACTGCCACATAAATGGAATTGGCCAAACATCCCAATGAAAGAATCTCATGAAAACAGTATTAAGACCCAGTGAGAATTTTCTGGATGGCTGATATTAACACTGCACTATTATTCTAACCACCGAATTTACATCAATGGCGCCGTCTCACGTGGTGGTGCTGACTTAATATCCTGAGAGAAACGATGATGGTCATGAGTCCGAGTTTACCGTGGTTAGGATACCAACTCACGAATGAGAAGCCTGCTGCTCTAGAGTTACGAAATACTCACAAACACCCGTAGAATATAATCCTGTACTTTAAAAATGTACAGGCTTTTGTCAATCCACTGCTGTCGTCTTTCCCCCGCACCGCCCATTTGCACGGTTGGCTATGCAGTGCGCAAAATAAGTTCAAAATGCATACAGGATGAATGAAGACCTCTCCCTCATGCAGGCATTCTGATTGTTTGACCATACTTCACCATGCTACTCAATGCGGAAGGGCAAGCCCTGGTACCAGCTAATATTTCACTTGCCTCCGCTATTAACCGTGGCCTTATCACTGTGGTATACCAGCCTGTGAAATAGTGTGGCATCGTACGTGCTATAAGGTACATTATTGAGCATACGCATCGAGTATTAGCAGTGCCAAATTATTCAGTATACAATGTACGTTATGATGCAGATGTGTGTGGATGAATTGCAAATTGGCATGCACTACCGATGGAGTGAATTGCACAATTTTTTTTCAATCAAGATATTTACCAAGTGGGTGAATTACATAACGTCCTGGTGTTATAATATTACGAACTATATACAGGAGTATTAGTAGTAGTGTGGATGGATGTCACATCGTGAATCAAGAGTGTCACATGTTGTAGTGCACCCTCTGTAATTGTCATGGGTACGGAATCACCGATACTAGGAGCAATACAAGTTAGTACAATGTAGGGATTTGTATGTTATTACGTAGTGATACATGAAGCGTTGACACCGAATGCTAGATCATACACTGCACAGTGAACACATTTTTATGCTGTTAATGCATCGTTTCCTGTTTGTACAAATTACGTGAAATTACTTTGTCAGCTGAAACATTCCACACAAACATCACTGAGTCGAGACATCCTAACGACGTCTCTAGTGCACTATCCAGTACACACAAACACGTAGTGGTGTATTACTGTGGTGTTAGTGCACTATACACACCAACACATTGTAGTGGTGTATTACTGTGGTGTTAGTCCACTATACACACCAACACATTGTAGTGGTGTGTTACTACGGTGTTAGTGCACTATACACACCAACACATTGTAGTGGTGTATTACTGCGGTGTTAGTGCACTATACACACCAACACATTGTAGTGGTGTGTTACTGCGGTGTTAGTGCACTATACACACCAACACATTGTAGTGGTGTGTTACTGTGGTGTTAGTGCACTATACACACCAACACATTGTAGTGGTGTGTTACTGTGGTGTTAGTGCACTATACACACCAACACATTGTAGTGGTGTATTACTGTGGTGTTAGTGCACTATACACACCAACACATTGTAGTGGTGTTACTGTGGTGTTAGTGCACTATACACACCAACACATTGTAGTGGTGTATTACTGTGGTGTTAGTGCACTATACACACCAACACATTGTAGTGGTGTATTACTGTGGTGTTAGTGCACTATACACACCAACACATTGTAGTGGTGTGTTACTACGGTGTTAGTGCACTATACACACCAACACATTGTAGTGGTGTTAGTGCACTATACACACCAACACATTGTAGTGGTGTATTACTGCGGTGTTAGTGCACTATACACACCAACACATTGTAGTGGTGTGTTACTGCGGTGTTAGTGCACTATACACACCAACACATTGTAGTGGTGTATTACTGCGGTGTTAGTGCACTATACACACCAACACATTGTAGTGGTGTATTACTGCGGTGTTAGTGCACTATACACCAACACATTGTAGTGGTGTATTACTGCGGTGTTAGTGCACTATACACACCAACACCTTGTAGTGGTGTTACTGCGGTGTTAGTGCACTATACACACCAACACATTGTAGTGGTGTATTACTGCGGTGTTAGTGCACTATACACACCAACACATTGTAGTGGTGTATTACTGCTGTGTTAGTGCACTATACACACCAACACATTGTAGTGGTGTGTTACTGCGGTGTTAGTGCACTATACACACCAACACATTGTAGTGGTGTTAGTGCACTATACACACCAACACATTGTGGTGGTGTTAGTGCACTATACACACCAACACCTTGTAGTGGTGTGTTACTGCGGTGTTAGTGCACTATACACACCAACACATTGTAGTGGTGTGTTACTGTGGTGTTAGTGCACTATACACACCAACACATTGTAGTGGTGTATTACTGCGGTGTTAGTGCACTATACACACCAACACATTGTAGTGGTGTATTACTGCGGTGTTAGTGCACTATACACACCAACACATTGTAGTGGTGTGTTACTGTGGTGTTAGTGCACTATACACACCAACACATTGTAGTGGTGTGTTACTGCGGTGTTAGTGCACTATACACACCAACACATTGTAGTGGTGTGTTACAGCGGTGTTAGTGCACTATACACACCAACACATTGTAGTGGTGTATTACTGCGGTGTTAGTGCACTATACACCAACACATTGTAGTGGTGTGTTACTGCGGTGTTAGTGCACTATACACACCAACACATTGTAGTGGTGTATTACTGTGGTGTTAGTGCACTATACACACCAACACATTGTAGTGGTGTATTACTGTGGTGTTAGTGCACTATACACACCAACACATTGTAGTGGTGTGTTACTACGGTGTTAGTGCACTATACACACCAACACATTGTAGTGGTGTGTTACTGTGGTGTTAGTGCACTATACACCCCAACACATTGTAGTGGTGTGTAACTGTGGTGTTAGTGCACTATACACCCCAACACATTGTAGTGGTGTGTAACTGTGGTGTTAGTGCACTATACACACCAACACCTTGTAGTGGTGTGTTACTGTGGTGTTAGTGCACTATACACACCAACACATTGTAGTGGTGTATTACTGTGGTGTTAGTGCACTATACACACCAACACATTGTAGTGGTGTTAGTGCACTATACACACCAACACATTGTAGTGGTGTGTTACTGTGGTGTTAGTGCACTATACACACCAACACATTGTAGTGGTGTTACTGCGGTGTTAGTGCACTATACACACCAACACATTGTAGTGGTGTATTACTGTGGTGGTAGTGCACTATACACACCAACACATTGTAGTGGTGTGTTACTGTGGTGTTAGTGCACTATACACACCAACACATTGTAGTGGTGTATTACTGCGGTGTTAGTGCACTATACACACCAACACATTGTAGTGGTGTGTTACTGTGGTGTTAGTGCACTATACACCAACACATTGTAGTGGTGTGTTACTGCGGTGTTAGTGCACTATACACACCAACACATTGTAGGTGTATTACCGTGCAGACACACACACACAAGACACTTTCGTACCAGAACGACACAATACGCTCGTATATAAAATAATAACACAATGCTGGGGGCCCATGCAGAGCCACCGGTCTATAGCGTAGTATAGACCTACACCCTGCGCGTGCTACACACTGCGCGTGCTACACACTGCGCGTGCTACACACTGCGCGTGCTACACACTGCGCGTGCTACACACTGCACGGGTTACACACTGCACGGGCTACACACTGCACGGGTTACACACTGCACGGGCTACACACTGCGTGTGCTACACACTGCGTGCTACACACTGCGTGTGCTACAAACTGCACGGGCTACACACTGCACGGGCTACACACTGCACGGGCTACACACTGCACGGGCTACACACTGCACGGGCTACACACTGCACGGGCTACACTATGCACGGGCTACACTATGCACGGGCTACACACTGCGTGTGCTACACTATGCGTGTGCTACACTATGCACGTGCTACACACTGCACGGGCTACACAATGCGTGTGCTACACAGTGCGTGTGCTACACACATTGCATGGCCCGTCTCCCACAGCGGTGGTGGAGGAGCCGCTGGCCGGCGACCCGCGTCCGATTTGCGGCCACGGCCACAACGAGCGGCGGCTTCGAGGGGATGTCCGAACCGGCCCCGTCTATGATATCGCGTCTACCACAGCGGTGAAGCATCACCCAAACAAACCCCACCACCGACACCAACCCCGATGGAGGCCTTTATCATCCAGCAGTGGTTTCGGCACCGAGGATCCGTGTACACGATTATACACAACAGCATTAGTGCACATCGTGTGTGTGTGTGGCCATGCGATTCGGTACTCACTGCCGGCGCTCTGATGTCGCCACCGCTGCTGTTGACGATCCAGTTAAGCAGCAGTAGCGCTGCCATCATCACCACCACCAACCACGCTCGCGGCCAGATCCAGCGAGCTCTCTGGATTCAGCCCGCACCCCTCCCCACCACCACCACCACCTTTATCACAGCCTACACGCTAAATCCACACACGTGTGTGTGTGTGTCCCCTTCAGCGAGAGACACGCCGCGCGCTGCTGGCGCTGAGACCAAGCTACCCCGTTGCGAGCGTGGCTTGCGCTGTTCCACAGCCGGGTTATTATGCGCGCCGTGACGACGACGATGATGATGATTCACTCTCCCTGCCTGCCCTTCTCCCTCCCCTCGCTCTCCCGCGGCACGCACAACGGCAAGCACGCAACGCAGCCCGAACGCGAGCGCCCCTCCCGGCCACGCGCGCGGTGTTATATGCGGGCGAGGCGTCACCTGCTGTTTGACTCGGAAACTGCTCGGCACCTACCAAAAAGGTGGCGCCAGCAGCGGCAGCCGCCGTTAACAATTCACTGCTGACTGAAGATCCTCTCCAAACCTTCTCGCAGCTGATTTCATGGTTCCATCGTCTCGATTGACGTATTGTCTCAGACACTTTCGATCACTTGGCTGTCACTGTCGGAGTTCTTGGACATCTTCGCTTCTAAACATGATTTGTCCTGGCCAAGCCCCACTTACAGTACTTTTTTTAGACTGAATGGTCTCATCATCCCGCCTACGTTCTCGCACCCGTGTGGTATCGATTCAATTCCAAGCGTGGCTTTTCTCGCCGTGTTTTTCAAACTTTTACATTTTTGTTAAACTTTGTTGTTAACTCTTGTTAATGTCTGAGTGATATAGGCTGGGCGAGAAGTCCATATACCCCAGTCTTAATAAACGGTGTGGTTAACTCAGACTGATTGAACGTGTCTATCAGTAGACAGGGTGTCGTAGTACTTTAAATCCGTGCTTACAGTATCTCCAAAAGTGTGACCTTCCATTTCCCATCAAGGCCACCTGTGTTTTACACAAAACCACGCTGTGCAGAGTGGTCCAGATGTGACCCCCATTTAATTCTCCAAAACTTAATCTTTTTAATGTAAGGTTTATTTAAAACAGACATGAAAATGCAAAGAAAAATATGTAAGAGGTCAATTCATTGAGGGTCACAAGAAAAAAAGGTGCAGCTCATACTCACTTATATGCTACTCATTTCCATCAACAGCCAACTCGAGTTGACCCGATTTCTCCCCATTACTCCAGTTGATGAACATGTCAAGTTGGCAAAACACAATTATATTCTGAGTTATTTTGCGAGTTGGGAAAGTCTTGACCAGAAATTAATATTTTTGTTTGAAAGAAAAACTTTGATGGAGAATTCAGACCGGCGAGAGAAGCTAAATCACCATGAATCAAATTTGGGCGGCTGCCGGAATGGACAGGCAACTTGAATTGTCTAAAAACACCGAGCTGGGTGTGGAGGGGAGCAATACTAGTATGCACATAACTTTTGTGGTTCATGGAAACAGGTTAGACAACGTGTAGTCACTCAAATAAGGGGGGGGGGGGGGCACAGTGGTTCACACATGTCCCCGAACCGGGAAACTTGGGTTTAATTCCTGGCCATGGCAGAAATTAGTCAGGAGTAATATATTAAACCAGTTCTGGACATCCCCATCTTCACCAACCCTCACTGACCAGCATGGTAAAGTATGGTCAAACAACCCCCATAACCAACAGTGTTGGGAGGCCTTCATCCAATATTCGATTTAAGGTCTGAAACTTATTATGAATCATTAAGTTATGCTTATTTGACTCACGTGTTATTTTGTCGGAATTGTATCTTTTCTTAAAGTGGCATGACTTATCCTGCTTGTATTTAAAAACCCAGTTCATGTTTCATTCCAGTGTATAAATTACTGTGCCTTGTCCAATCTTAATAAACAGAGGCTGCAGTACTGGCTTAATATTTCATTTTGAACAATTATGTTTCAGAAATTCATTGAAATGTAAATGTGTGGAGGAAGGTGGTGATGCACAAGCCAAATTACAATAACAACTGACTCAACGTTTAACACAAATATATTCTTTAGTTATCGGATTGATGCTTTCGGCAATTATCCTCCCTCAGTATAACGAATAAATTAAAATGTCAATTTACTATAAGTTCTCTTTTCAGTGCAGTAATACAGGATTGACGACTATGGTTAGTTTCAGTGGGTGTGTGCTTGCCTTCACACCCAGTTGTTGGCTGTTCGGAAAAAAATAGGATGCCATAAATGCACTACCCAGAGATGTGTTAGGTCTTAAAAGATTGTACAACATTAAACATGATGACAGTAACAATAGATGAACGTCATTATGGCGGTACAACAAACACACACACACAGATACATTTAATCTATCAACAAAGCGTATACTAAACACGCTTATTGTAACTAAATTGTGCAATACTTCAACAAACGCTTTATTGGAGCATTCTGGTAACAGGTAAAGGCGCAGCCCTGAAATTGCTTGCTCACGCCACTACTAGCAAAAGTGTCTCCACTGCAGGGATCAAGAGAGTATTTTGAAGAGGTGGGACTACTCACACTTTACCCCACCACACACGACCTGCATATCAAGAAACTGATGTACTCCATTTACACTGCTGGGCAGACAGAGTTGGAGAGTAAAATTAATTCTAGATTTGAAGCTTTCGTGACTGCAAGGATCCACTCTTTGGTTTTATTCGGTAAAGTCACGTAGGTAAAAAATAAAACAACAAAAATCACGACGTTTTGGCCACAACACAAGCGGCCTTCATCAGGTGAAGGGACCAGACTGTCTCGAGGACAGCGCTGGAGTGAACACAGCTAAGCTCAGATGTTCTAAATCGAACCAAACATTAAACTAATTTTCAATGGTACAGTATATTTTTTCAAGTAGTGGTACCCCAAACTTTCGCAGCATCCCATCTCTTCCCTTGTCACACCTCCCCCCCTCGCCGACCTGCACATGTTCACCTTTCATCATGCTAAGTCCGACAATTAAATGCTAATTTTTTATGCTAATTCCTTTGTCAAGGCACCCTGATTCCTCTCACACAGCTTAAAGGTCGCGGTCTGAGCTTAGATGTGTTCACACCAGCGCTGTCCTCGAGACAGTCTGGTCCCTTCACCTGATGAAGGCCGCTTGTATTGTGGCCGAAACGTCGTGATTTTTGTTGTTTTATTTTTTACCTACGTGACTTTACCGAATAGAACCAAAGAGTAGAGTAAAATTAAATAAATACGTTCCCATTGTTTCAACTGTCATGGCAGGGGGATTAAATCCGGAGGTCGCCGCTTTGATTGCAAGTCTCGTGTGCCAACTCATCACACCACAGCTTCGTGAGTAATTCCAGGTTGAATGAAAACAAAACCTTGCTCTACATCGCAAATAATTACAAAATGTAGCTCAGTCTATCGGCCTACCGGCCTCGTAGACCCATGTTCATCAGGATCACGTGTTTTATAATGCACAGTCTCTCGACCGGCTTCACCCTTTCCGAGGCTCATCAGAAGAGTAGGCGAGGTAAACGGATACTGCTGGCTTACCACACGAGCACTCTTTTCAACACCAAAGGCCGTCACTGCAAAAATTGTAAATCAATATGTACACATTGGAAACAAACTTTGCACTGCAGCGTTCTGGTTGATAACATTAACCACTGTGGCTCCAGATGAATACTAAATGTGCGTTCAGCCTCGCTCAGCCTGCTGATGTTCCAGACTTAGATGATAATTACCCTGACCCATCCGGAGAATGCAGTACAGCAAAAGTATGGGCTCGACCTGTTCCGTCCATAGAGGCTAGTGTTTTCCCCGGGTGCTCCGGCTCCGGATAACGCCTTAATACGTAGAGGATCGGCAGAGCTCGGGCATTTTTTTGGTGGCGGCCTACGCTCTCCCCTGCTTGAAGCATGCCTTCTATGTCGGCTGCTCGGCTATCACCCTGAGCTGGGGTAGCCAACCCCCAGGGAGGAACAGGGGCGGTTGGGCCCTGGGCTTTGCAGATGACGAGCAAATGATGATCTGTGCCATCCACTCAGAGAAAATGCAATTGTCTTATTCGGCAACGCCTCACTATATTCATGACAGGATGCAACTGTGGACCATATAGATTTAACCAATGTATAACAATGTAACACCAACAATCTATTTAATGAACCTGCATCATTATATCATACCCATATTATGAACTAAACCAATTGACGCGTCACTAGAATCACATCAACGTTAAAACGCCAGCTTCATAACCAACACAATGTACCGTGACGTAATTAAGGTCAGCCTATTTCCACCAACCCTTAAGTCCATTCACCTTATTAAACTGATCTGACATGCCAATCACACCCAAACTACCAGCGATCAACTCTAATTATTTTATTAAACCGGATCACGTGCATGATTGTACGCTGCAACCACACGCACAACCACCACCTTGCACTGCACGCATATGCCTGCCAGCTCGTCCGTGCAGGTTTGTCATTTGTGCAATGGGGCGTTGCACCAAATCTCAAATTGGCCCTAAATAACACAGCTACTGTGTTGCTGCATCTCTCGCCTGGGACATGGAGATCGTAATGGCCACATTAGCCCCTCATTGCCGACCCCAAGCTCAGAGTTAACAATGGAAAGGGACGTGGCAAAAATAAAAAAAATCCCGCAACGCTGCTAAAATGTGCACTGGGTGGTTTCGGGGAAACCTTTGGGAGTTTTAGTAACGTTAAATATTGAGCTTGCACGTTTCTAGCCAAAAGCATGCGTGTGGTACAGATAGCAATCTTGTAGTTTACAGCTACTAAATCAAAAGAATATATAAAACCCTACCCCTTAGGCGATCCGTTCTATTAGCGGAATGCATGTTAGGTGACTATAATGCATGTACTGCTTGCTCCTGGCAATGTCTTAGCGTTCCTTGCTCGTGTGAAGTTTCATAAATTATTTTCACAGTGCCATGAAAATTAAAATGTCAATTCAAAACGCCTAATGCACTCTCCAAGCTCTCCCGAGCCATTACGTGTGCCATTAGTACACTTTGTTGATAATTTATCGCTATGAAATAACACATTTTACAGCAATTAATTAAAGTCATTGTTTTACACATCGCATTTTAGTGCCTTAATTTGCATCAGCACACATCAGTTTGTATTCTGTTTTCCTTCACTTCATTCTTGTCTTCTTCCCGCACCTACGATTAGCTCTCGGTTGGCTACGTACGGTGCGAAAGAAGCCCCACATACACCACATACTTCCTCTCCACCGTCTCACGTAAACAGGTTTTTGTTCTTACAAGGAGCTGTGATCGCTTAACACGTGCGACCGAATATCGCCTGTAGTATCTT